GGGGGGTGCGACAGTCACTGTAAAGCCATGCGCGGGTTGCTGACCTCAGCTCGCACAAAAATCACTATTCAAGTCATTTTTAGAAGGGCACCTCTTAATATCCACCTCACCTTGAGGCACAAATATTCCTTTCTGAAACAGCCAGAGGTAAATGGGAACCAGAAGTGATTTAAAGCTCATCTTAGCCCAGAATTTTTCAGCTTATTGTCTTTCTCCCAAAGCTTTTCTGTGACTCTGGCTATTAAGATTACAGATGTTTTTGTCAGGGCGTGTATTTATCACGGATTTAAATTTAGCTGAGAACTAATAACGTGTGAGGTGTGTCTAGACTTTAATTTTGCGCAAGTGGGCTTGTCTCATCTTTAACACCATGCAGACTTTGCTTCATTCATCTATCACCTCTTTGCTTATATTTTAGCCATCAACGCCGCATCGCTCCCAGCAGCTCTGGCTGCTGCCCCTCGGCCGGTGCGGGGCCAACAGCATGGAGCCAAACGTGTTGCAGGTGCAGTCCCCTTCCCGCTGGTGGAGAGGCAGAATTTGGCCTGGGGGAGGTCCGCTCCCCATGCAGGAGCCATGCATGGGGCCCTGCAGCGGGATTCAGCTCTCACCCCCACCCCGCGCCCAGCAGGAACCAGCGCATGGCTGCACGCACGGGCAGAGCTGAAATTTCAGCACAGAACACAGCCAAATAAGGCCGGCTGCCTGGCACTCTAATGAGCTGAAGTCTTTTCAGCCCTGGTATAATTAAGCCCCTTAGACTGTATTTTGTTTTGCATGCAGTGTTTTGCTTTCTTTGATGGCTTTCTCAGCACGGCTGTGAGGAGCAGGAATTGGTTTCTGAGAAACGCCAGCCGAGGGAGGCTGCGAGAGCCGGCGTGCGTTGGCAAGCGGGCCGTGGGAGCAGCAGTGCCGCTGGCACCTCGCAGGAAGGAGGAGGGGGCATTCGCCAGTCGCGTGCTGCCCACGGGAAGAGGTAGCGACAGCGGCACGGGGAACCCCTGGCAGCTCAGCCCCGGCCGGGGCTGCAGTACAAGCCTGGGGAGCAAATCCACGTGCAGCCCTTTGCCTGAGAGCTGCCAACGGGCGGTGCCGTCCTGGCCCTGGGGCACCGGCACGTCCCTCCGGCAGGACACGGCCCCAGCCCCACCCCAGAGGCATCGCAACGGTAGCAGCAGCCCTGCTTGTATTTGTAAGGCTGCCCAGCACTGTCAGCACAAGGAAGGTGATGACATGGGAGATGATGAATCGTAAATACCTGGCACGCGGCTCTTTGCAGCCTGGCCCAGGCCCAAGCAAACCCACTGGAAATGTTTCCACTGGAGTGGGACTTGCTGGCCAGCGGGAGGGAGCTCGGCACCGCTGCCAGGAGAGCTGTGCGGGATCAGCTCCCGGCACCGTACCCCTTCAATGTGGGGGTGACGTGCTTTGGGTGGTGCCCAGCGACGAGCCCCACTGCAGAGATAGCAGGGAAAGGGGATGGAGAAGGACAGTGAGCCGGGACAAAACTGCAGGAGGATTTCTGTGGGGACTCCAGGACCTCACAGCCAGACCGCCTGGTGTGCCAAGGCCTGGTGGTTTCCGAGATGGTGCTGGTGGACACGTTTATGGCCAGTCCATCATCTTTCATCTTGCAAAGAAACGTTGAATAATTTTTTGGGAACAAAAGTTATGCTTGGCTCATATATCTGTATGAAATCATGAATATGAACAGACGCAATGGAAGTAATGCGCAGAATGCGTACCAGACCCATAAATAGTGCCAGAGCAGGGAAAGTAATGCACAGGATATATAATGACGGATACAAACGGAGCCAATGGAAGTAATGTGTTGAGTATATTCAGTGATAGCCATAAATAGCATTAGTGGAAGTAATGCAGAGTGTACACATAACAATAGATATAAACACGGTCCGGAGTAGCTGTACATCTAATATGCAATATTAGTATGATTTGATCCCTCGTAACAGCTTGAACAACAAGGAAATAAATGCAACAGAGGCAGCGCGACAGGGAGCGTTCACTTCCACCTGCCGATGGGCCGGGGCGGTTCCGGGCCGGGGCACAAGCCAGACCGTAACCCCCGAGTGGGTCCCCCAGCCCTCCCCAGGGAAGGCAGCAGGACGCCGGGCCTTGCCCAGCTGAGACTGGGCAGACCCCCGTACCCACAGCGCCCCTGGACCTCACGTCAGGCTATAGCTCACTCTGTAGATAGATACACTGACCGGTTGCTGTTTCTCAGAGGGGAGCGGTGCGGGTCTGCACCTTGCGGGCAGGCATGGCGGGAGGCAAGGGACTAACCCTCGGGGCAGACCGAGACCGGGCTGCTGCAGAGCCTGGGGGAGCACGGAGGAAGGGGGCTGGTTCCCGCGGAGCTGTCGCCATTGCTCCGCACGCAGACACCCCGCTCCCAGCTGACCCCAAGCAGGGTTCCCCCAGATGCTCAATCCCGCGCTCAGCTCCTCTGCATTTGCAAAGCAGCCTTTATATTCAGGCTCCATCTACAGGGAACGGAATAATTTCGAAAGCTTAAAATAGGATGTAGATAGATGTGTTTAGGTTTTTTTTTTTAAGAAGCCGAGGAAGCGAGGTCTGTCTGACACAAATTCCTCAAGGCTTTCCACTCAAAGTCTGTGCACGTTCAAGCATCAAGTGGAAAGTTGGGGGGTGGGGAGGGCCCCAGCCAAAGGGCTGGATTTCAGCTGGAAAATGAGAACTACTGCTATGCCTCGGCAGCGCCTTTCGCCTTAACGTCAGCTCTACCAGGACGGTAAAGCTTTTGCTGTGGTCGTGCCCATCGTTTGCTCACATCCACCTTGCTTTTTCTCTCCTCCGTGTTACCTACAGGTGAGAGATAGGATGGTAGCTGGGGAGGCGAGTATGCGCAGCCCAATCCTGGCCTGCTGGCAGCCGATTCTCCTCCTGATGCTGGGATCCATCCTGTCCGGCTCTGCCACGGGCTGCCCGCCGCGCTGCGAGTGCTCTGCCCAGGAGCGCGCCGTCCTGTGCCACCGGAAGCGATTCATGGTCGTGCCGGAGGGGATCCCGACCGAGACCAGGCTGCTGGACTTGGGCAAGAACCGCATCAAGACGCTCAACCAGGATGAATTTGCCAACTACCCTCACCTGGAGGAGCTGGAGCTAAACGAGAACATTATCAGTGCCATTGAACCTGGGGCTTTCAACAACCTCTTCAACCTGAGGACGCTGGGGCTCAGGAGTAACAGACTTAAGCTGATCCCCTTGGGGGTGTTTACTGGACTCAGCAACCTTACCAAGCTAGACATTAGTGAGAACAAAATTGTGATCCTCCTAGACTACATGTTCCAGGACTTGTACAACCTGAAGTCTTTGGAGGTGGGGGACAACGACCTTGTCTACATCTCCCACCGGGCCTTCAGCGGGCTCAACAGCCTGGAGCAGCTGACCCTGGAGAAATGCAACCTGACCTCCATCCCCACGGAGGCCCTGTCTCACCTTCATGGCTTGATCGTGCTGCGGCTGCGCCATCTGAACATCAACACCATCCGGGATTACTCATTCAAGAGGCTGTACCGGCTCAAGGTCCTCGAGATCTCACACTGGCCCTACCTGGATACTATGACGTCCAACTGCCTCTATGGGTTGAACCTGACCTCCTTGTCCATCACCCACTGCAACCTGACGTCCATCCCGTATGTGTCAGTGAGGCACTTGGTTTACCTCCGGTTCCTGAACCTGTCCTACAACCCCATTGTCACCATCGAGGGCTCCATGCTCCATGACCTGCTCAGGCTGCAGGAGATCCAGCTGGTGGGAGGGCAGCTCACCACGGTCGAGCCCTTCGCCTTCCGCGGCCTCAATTACCTGCGCATCCTGAACGTGTCGGGGAATTTGCTGACCACCCTGGAGGAGTCGGCCTTCCACTCAGTGGGCAACCTGGAGACGCTCATCCTCGACAACAACCCCTTAGCCTGCGACTGTCGGCTGCTCTGGGTTTTCCGGCGGCGATGGAGGTTGAACTTCAACAAGCAGCAGCCCACCTGCTCCACCCCCGAGTTCGTCCAGGGCAAGGAGTTCAAAGACTTCCCCGACGTCCTCCTGCCCAACTACTTCACCTGCCGCCGAGCACGGATACGGGACCGCAAACCTCAGCAGATCTTCGTGGACGAAGGCCACACGGTCCATTTCGTCTGCGGGGCAGATGGGGACCCGCCCCCCACCATCATGTGGCTCTCTCCCCGGAAGCACCTCATCTCTACCAAAACCAACGGGCGGCTCACTGTCTTCCCTGACGGCACGCTGGAGGTGCGCTATGCCCAGATCCAGGACAATGGCACCTACCTATGCATTGCCAGCAACGCGGGTGGCAACGACACCATGCTGGCCCACCTGCACGTGCGCAGCTACTCCCCAGACTGGCCCCACCAGCCCAACAAGACCTTCGCGTTCATCTCCAACCAGCCCAACGAGAGCGATGCCAACAGCACGCGCGCCACCGTGCCTTTCCCCTTTGACATCAAGACTCTCATCATCGCCACCACCATGGGCTTCATTTCCTTCCTGGGTGTCGTCCTCTTCTGTCTGGTGCTCCTCTTCCTGTGGAGCCGGGGGAAAGGCAACACCAAGCACAACATTGAAATTGAGTACGTGCCACGCAAGTCCGACGCAGGCATCAGCTCTGCCGACGCGCCGCGCAAGTTCAACATGAAAATGATCTAACCAGGCAACAATTTGCAAATAATAACGGTGTTGTTTTTTTTTTTAAAAAAGAACAAATGAACAAATAAAAAATAATTAAAAAATAAACATTGCTACAAACATACCGACCTCTCTCCTTCCACCACGCCCTCCACCCCTGTCCAAACCCACTGCACCCGCACTGTCACCACCTCTTTCTCCTCCTCTTCTTCTTTATACCAGGAAAACATTCAGCCGATGTCTTCAGGACTCCTGTGTTTGTAAGGACTTTGTCCGATGGACTCTGGTGTCAGATATAACTCTGAGAGGGAAAAACAACAGAGGGGGGAAAAAAGAAAGAAAAAAAGAAATAAAATCAATAAAAAGTTACGAACTTTCTTCTGTAACTTTGATTTCAATAACTATGGATTTTTATGAAAACTTGAAATAATAAAAAAACCCTATTTCCTATAGATAGTTGGAATGCAAAATCTTGACTTCTTGATCTGTCCAGTTCTGTACCTCTGGCAAGTGCTCGCTTCCTGGCCTCGGAGGCATTTTCCAGCCGCCTCACTAGGAACAGCCCCAGGCCAGGGCGAGTCTCCCGCTGACGCCAAAGGTTCGCGCTCCCCCCAGAGGCACTTCCCCTGGTGTCTTGGGCCCCGCACAGCACCTAGAGGAGTTTGACTTTTTCCCCCCCAAGGACCAGCTGTGGTTTTATAGCCGGTTCCCCTGCCCGCCCTCAAAGCCCGGGGGAGCAGGGCAGCAGGGCTGATGTGTGTAAGCAGTACATGGCGGGGCTGTGTCTGCTTGCTCTCTGCGGGGTGAGAGGGACGCGAAGCCCTGTTGCAGGGCAGCCCGCAGCTCGCCCTGCCCGCGGCCCCCAGGCTGAGAGCCAGCGGGGCCAGGCTTTGCCTGGGCAGTGCTGGCAGCGGGACTGGGGATACCTGGGGATCCCACTGCCCCTTCCCTGGGGAGAGGACTTTCTCCCTGCCGTTGCCAGCAGCACAGCGCTGTCTCCTCTCCGATGGGGGACAAGCTGGCTCTTGTGCTGTGGACACCTGTCCCTGTGGGCAGGGATGCTGCAATTCCGTTAGCGCCCTTGCTGGCAGCACGAGCAGGCAGTGCCCTGCCTGCCCGGGCACCCCCGGCACCCAGCAGCCCC